CTCAGAGCACATCATAAGTGGATAAAAACATACATGAATAGATATACAGCAATATTTTAAACAATTAAAGAATGCAATTTCAAAACAACTAACAGCGTGTAACCAGAAACACAATTTCAGCTGGAGTGACTGGATCCAGAGATTGTCTTAATCTGGGCCGAATAATGATGACAGGCTTCAGTGAGGGAGGCCGGCTTCATTGGATGCCCTCTGCCTCAACCAAAGGCCTGGCGCAACAGCTCCGTCTTACAGGCCCAACGGAAAGATAATAAGTCCTCCAGGGCCCCAATCTCAAGCAGGAGCTTGTTCCACCAGGCCGGGGCCAGGGTCAGAAAAGCCCTGGCCCTGGTTGAGGCCAGACAGACATCCCTGGGGGCTGGGGACCACCAGGTTGATCAATCGAGCGCAAGGCTCTCCGGGGCACATATGGGGAGAGGCAGTCCCGCAGGTATGTCAGTCCCTGGCCACGCAAGGCTTTGAAGCTCATGCAACCTTTTGGGCCACCGACAGTGAGGTAGGGCATGAATCAATATGGGCGCCTAGAGAGACAGACAAGGTGCTGCCGGGGGGATGGCATGCCTGTTCTAAGCAAACAATGTGTGTATTCTGCAAGGGGGTGGCATATGTGTTTGCGAGTGGAAGGAATCTTCATCTGGGCACTTGTAGTCCAGGCACTTACCGTCCTTCAGAATTGTTTCTCTGTCCGTTCCGTCAATCTTCTGCCTCCCAATCAGGTAGCTGGTGGTGTCCGCAAAGTAAATGAAGCCGGTCTCTGCGTGGAAATCCAGGGCTCTGGGATTCATCAGGTTTTCAATGGGGATCATGTGCTCATCGGGCACTTTGGCCCCCATGTCCATCCCCCGGATGATGCCAGGCCGCCCTTTGCCATAAACCAGGAAGAGCTCGTGCTCTGGTTCTGGAAGACAAGAAGGTCAGGGTCAGGAAGAGAAAGATGGGCTAGGGCTGATTTGTACCGGAGCTCAATGGGTGCCCTGTTTCCATCGGTGGTGGGGGGGGGGTTATTTTTATTGCTGGGGGGGTTTCCCCCCACTGGTTGCCACTTGGTATACATAAAAGAACAGGGCAGCCATAGCCAACCTTGAAAACACGGGCAAAAAGAGGACCCCGGCTTTTCGCAGACTGAGTCAGCAGCTAACTAAGAAAAATGAATTCTGCATTCTTTAGCCTCTATTTGAATCTTTTATGAATCTGAAGAAGTGTGTGTGCACATGAAAGCTTATAAAGAAGAAGAAAAAGGAGAAGGAGATTGGATTTATACCCTGCCCTTCACTACCCAAAGGAGTCTCAGAGCAGCTTGCAATCTCCTTTCCCCTCCCCACAACAGACACCCTGTGAGGTGGGTGGGGCTGAGAGAGCTCTGAGAGAACTTGTGACTGACCCAAGGTCACACCAGCAGCTGTGTGTGGAGGCGTGGGGAATCAAACCCGCTTCTCCCAGATTAGACTCCATGCTCCTAACCACTACACCAAACTGGCTCTCCAAATTTGTTGATCTTAAAGGTGCCACTGGACTCAGACTTGCGTCAGACCAACATGGCGACCCTCCTGAATTGAATCTTTATGCTTATTTATCTACTACACGCTGCAGCGTGCCTTCCATTGAAAGTTGAAAGACTGCAGACTCTAACAAGTAACCAAATTAAGTTCTGAGCCTACAGGAGACATAATAAAATATGCACTCCTCTGAACTCTTATATTTAACTGAGACTCTATAGCCAGATTGTTCCCTCAGTGTTCCCTCTAAGCTGAGTTAGTGTGACCTAGCTCAGTTTTTTAGCCTCTGGCTCACACATTTTTGTCCTAGCTCAGGAAGGATGGCTCCAGAGCAAACTGATTTATGCGGTAGGCAGATCGCTCTCTCACAACTTTAAGGCCAGTAGCTCACAAAGTAGAATCTTTGCTCACAAGACTCCACAGCTTAGAGGGAGCATTGCTTATGAACCTACCTGACCACTGTGGTCATCTTTAGAGACCCTGCCCCACCTTCATAGATTGGGCAGGTGGCAACTGGGGAGAGAGCCTTCTCAGTTGTGGCACCAAAACTCTGGAACTCTCTCCCCAGTGAGACTCCTTCTGTTGGCCCCTGTGAAGACTTTTTAGTTTCATTTGGCATTCCCTCAGTAATCCCTCCTTCCTGATAAATGTTTTAATCGTTTTAAAGGTCTTCACTGCTGTTGTTCTGGTGTCTTTGCATGTTTTAGCTGTCGTTTTAATTGCTTTATTGATGTGTGGCTGTTGTGGTTTGGTTTTAAATTGGTGATTTTATTATGTATGTTTTAATTTGTTAACCGCCTTGGAGGCCCTTGTGAGGGCAGAAAGGTGCCAGAGTTCCACAACAAACAGGCTCAACAACGTTCCTTCCAGAAGGATCAAGTTTATTGAGTACAGTAGAAGCAGGTCATCTTTGCATACAGTTTCTGTGTAAAGGCTAACCCCACAGGCGGGAAGGGGGAAGATATACTGCGTTTGAAGCGAGACCCTCTGATGGGAGCAAGCCAATCAGAGGCGGAAGCCTTGCGCGCTCAAAGTAACGACTACAAGTTCCCAGGGAGGCGAAAGCGCGAAGCATCGAGGTCAGGCTGCCAGATAAGGCGCCGTGAGAAAGTGCAAGTCAACATTCCAGGACAATAAGATGATCGCTCCACCAACTCCCTTCCCCCACCAACCACGGCAGCAAAGCGGACAAAAGGCTAGATATAAATTTTGTAAAATAAATAAAATAAAATAATTTGTAACATTTTTAAAACCTTAGTAAAGGTTTGTGGGCAGGGGGGATGGTTTAAGGGGGGGGAGAGAGAAGTGTGGCAGTGGCATATATTAAGGGGGCAGCGGGAGAAGACCTAGCGGTGAAGGCCTAGAGGCCTTTCCCAAGTGCAGCTTCCCATCCTATTGGCTGTGTGATATAGTAAAGGTAAAGGTTTCTTTGCTCGAAAGCCAGTCGAGTCTGACTCTAGGGTTGCGGTGCTCATCTCCGTTTCAAAGCCGAAGAGCCAGCGCTGTCCGAAGACATTTCCGTGGTCATGTGGCCGGCATGACTAAACACCAAGGCGCACGGACCGCTGTTACCCTCCCACCAAAGTGGTACCTATTTATCTACTTGCAATTTCTTGCTTTCGAACTGCTAGGTTAGAAGATGCATAAAGTTACCTGAGGGTTTTTTTTTCCAGGCCTTTGGACTGTGTCATATGCATGGAGTTCATTTACCTCTTCGAGTCCTCTATGACTCCTCTGTGTTCAGTCAACATTCAAAGCTGGTGATGGCAAGTGGGGGGGGAGGGCGGACAAAACCAGCATGGCTGTGCCCCCTCCCGCTCTATGTAAGTTCAGTCAACCCGCGGCAGGACCTTGGGTAGAAGGCTTTTGTCACTTGGACAAAAGGGAGTCATAGGCCCCCGTGAGAATGTGCTGGATCTGTCTGGAATCTTCTCAGGAGCCAAGGGAAGGCACTAGAAGTACCCAGAGCACAAAAATCTTCCTTGTCACCCTTCTTGTGTCCTTGTTCATATTACCCGTACAACTGGCAGGCCCTAGCTCAGGACCACAAGTGCTGGATATTTATGATGGCTGTTAAAACATGTCTCTCTTGCTTCTAACCTTCTACAGAAACAAGCATGCCACTCTTGGCCCCATCACTAGCGGCAATGAGGAAGGAGAGTAGGTTTTTATACCTTGCTTTTCTGTACCTCAAGAAGTCTCAAAGGGGCTTACAATTACATTTTCTTCCTCTCCCACAACAGGCACCTTGTGAGGTATGTGGGGCTGAGAGAACTGTGACTGGCCCAAGGTCATCAGTCTGGCTTCACGTGGAGGAGTGGGGAAACAAACCCCGTTCTCCGGATCAGTGTCCACTGCTCCTCACCACTACGCATGTGTCACAGGAACATAGGCAACCGTGAAGTGCCCGGGGGGGGATCAGTATCTTATCAGACTGATGGAAAAGAGGACATCAGCAGTTTCTTAAGGCTCTGGCACCTCCTCGTGAAACCGAAATGGAGACTGAAAGAACTAGGCCAGAGGCTTGGTGACTAATGGGTTTTGCTGGCAACTCATTCTCCTTCTTGTGCAAGCCTCTTTTTTCCTGGCTTGAAACCAGTCACAAGACTTAACTCTGATCAGAAGTTTCATATCCACACATGGCTCAACTAATATGTAAACAGGACACAGCAACATCTGGAGTTCTAGGAAACTGAGCATGGGCTGATTTCCCTCATTGCTAATCACGAGGGTGACCCTCTTCCAGGGGTGAAAGTAAGCTAGTATGAACGGGCTGAGGTTCCTCTCATCGTCTGTTCTGAGCCCCACAAGAGAAACCATCGTGGTAAGAAATGGGCACCCATGCCCTTTAGCTTTTCATCCAGGCCACAGAAATTCAGAGGGTACTCAGGCCTTTCTTTGCTGAAGATCTGAGGGGACGGGATGCTACCACAGCATCATGCCACTAAATGCTCTTCTATAATGAGGGAATTGTTAGGTCTTTTAAATAGCTCGGAACAGCACAAGAGAAGGGATGTGCAAAACCTTTTAATATATTCTCTACTCCTCCTGAACTATTCTCTTGCTCTTTGAAGGCACGGGGAGAGGAAGGAAGGAAGGAAGGAAGTTATTGTTCCCTCTAATCTGAGTTAGTGTGAGCTAGCTCACAGTTTTTTAGCCTCCAGCTCATACACTTTTGTCTTAGCTCAGGAAGGAGGGCTCCAGGAAGGAAGGAAGGAAGGAAGGAAGGAAGGAAGGAAGGAAGGAAGGAAGGAAGGGAGGAAGGAAGGGAGGGAGGGAGGGAGGGAGTTCCCAAAACCTCAGTGAGAAATACAAGACGATGTGCATTAACAGAGAACGGTTACTGGGAACATATAAAATGGCTTTGTATAAACCACTGGGTTTGAGGTTAAGAAGGTTCCCAGAAATAGGTCAGAAAGGCTCAGGGACTGCAAAGCTTATTCCTTTTCCAAGTTTCCAGAAAAGGTGGGGGCATCATTCCATGGAGTCTTAAAACAATCACCCTTTGGGGTTGTTTGTGTAACTCAATTTACGCTGCGTTTGCAGTTGAGTGGGGGGGGGGGATCTGCAGGTGCAGAATATCATTTATATTACAAGGTAATTTAGACCTCCTCGGAAAAACGCCGTTCATCTTGTAATATGTTATGAGTATTACACGCCATGCACATTTCTATCTCGAGCCGGGTAATTACAAATTTTGTCAGCATCATTAACTAGAGCCCAGGGTGAAGCAGAGCTGGCTTCAGCATCTGGCCTGAACTCATCCGGCCCCTGCAATCCATCAAAACTCTGCTATGAATACCCTGGAACTCTGTTGCTCTCTCTTTCTTTCTCTCATTTCCACCTATTCCTGGTCTTTTTATCTACAGAACTTCCCCTACAGTCATCCTTTTATTCTGTCCTCACCTTCACACTTCCTATCTTGATATTCCTCACGCACCAGCAAGACATGCAAATGACACACCGAGTACCTATGCATCCACAGCCAACAATATGCTGCTCATTATGGCAGACTATTGTGTGCCAGAGCTGCGAGGGGAAAGCCGGCTTCTCCATCTCCACCTTCCCACCCCCGTCCTCTCCCGACCGTTGCTCTCACTTTTGCAGGATTTCCCATCACTGCCCAGGCTGAATCCTGATCGGCACCGGCAAGTCCTGGTCTTGTGGCTGTTTCCAAGGAGACAGATGTCAGAGCAGCCACCGGGTTTGCCAAGCTGGTCCTGTTCGCAGGCATGACTCCTCACTGCAACGACAGAGAAAAGGCCCATTATCATTTATCACAGCATAGTTCACACCAATGTTCCCTCTAAGCTGTGGAGTCCTGTGAGCAAAAATTCCACTTTGTGAGCTCCTGGCATTAAAGTTGTGAGCGAGCGATTTGGCTACTGCATAAATTAGTTGGCTCTGGAGCCATCCTTCCTGAGCAAAGACAAAAATGTGTGAGCCGGAGGCTAAGAAGCTGTGAGCTAGCTCACACTAACTCAGCTTAGAGGGGACCCTGGTTCACACCCTGATTTATAGACCACAGTCTCCATAATGTCATCAGCTCTAACTCAGCTTAGAGGGAACCCTGGTTCACACCCTTCTTTAGAGACCACAGTCTCCATAATGTCATGACATTTCTGGTCAACCAGGAAATATTCTCATGACACTTACAGGCTAAAGAGCAAATGTTGAAGAGCCCAAGAAAAACGATGGCAGGCAGGACACGATTAGAGGTTCATAAACTTATGCACTGGATGGAGAAAGTGGCCAGAGGGAAGTTCTTGTCCGTCTACATAATACTGAAACTCAGGGACACCCAATGGAGATGATGTGCAATAGGTTCGGGACTGACAGAAAGTACTACTTCTTTACTCAAAGAGTAATTAAATTATAGAATTCACTGCTAGAGATGACCACAAGTACAGAGGGCTTTAAAAGGGCATTGACATATTCATGGAAGAGAGGTTCATCAATGGCCATGGTAACTTGAGAGAACCTCCATATACAGAAGCAACAAAATTCTGAATGCCAGTGCTTGGGGGGGGGCAACATCAGGGGAAGGCCTTGGCCCCTCTGTTCTTGCAGACCCTCCAGAGCAACAGTGTGTGAAACCGGATGCTGCCAGACCACTAGTCTGATCCAGCAGGGCTGTTATGTTCTTAAGGTCATAGCAAGATCACATTGAGGCATACCCTCATTATTATGGTATTATATTTGCTACTGAAGGCTTAACCCCCCCCCACCCCGATTTCAGTCTTATCTAAAACGATATGTTTCTAGCAAGGCCTTCCAAAGCACAACACACTCAAGGTTTGCTTTAAGGTAGAAACTGCAATATGTAGACAAGATCTCGCTGTCAGCCAAAGACATTATTCCAGCTGTTCTTGCAAAATAGTTACTATTCTATCTAGAGGGGTTTTCACTATCAGATGAGATACTGGGGGTTTCCCGGAAAAAACCACTGTACTGAGAAGTTGCTACTGATAGGGGTTCAACAGGATTGTTAGGAACAACTCTTCTGGCAACTTTTGAATTCGGGATTCATTGCTGTATTCCCCCTCTCCCGATGTTTATGAAATGCTTGGGGGGGGGGAGTTAAAGGTGTTGAGTACATATGGAGCTATTTTAATCACCTTTGATCTTTCTATTTCTGCTTTTCTCGTGTTGGGGTGGGCACCTTCGGCACCCTCCCCTCTATTTTGCTCATGGGGCTACTAAGACGATGAAAAGTAAAGTAGGCAGGTCCAGGGCTTTTTTTGTAGAAGCAGCCCAGCAGGAACTCATTAGCATAATAGGCCACACCCAACAGCAGACACTCATTAGCATATTAGGCCACACCCTGAGATAGCAGCATATTAGCACATTAGGCCACACACCCCACATTACCAGAAGTGTGGTCATCCAGCCACACCCACCTTTTGCTTCTTATTCTATTTACTTTGTTTGTTGTCAAAACCCACGGCTTTTTTTTTGCAGCAGGAACCCTTTGCATGTTAGGCTACACACCCCTAATGTAGCCAATCCTAATGAGTTCCTGCTGTTGGGTGTGGCCTATTATGCTAATGAGTTCCTGCTGGGCGTGGCCAACTCGGGAGCCAGCCGGAACTCCGTTCCTGTGCGTTCCTGCCCAAAAATAGCCCTGGGCTTGTCTAAGGTGAGACTGAGGCTAATGAGAAAATTTGCTTAATGAAAACGATGAAAATGGTCAGTGATTGGCCAGTTAATTGGGAGCCAAATTCAGCCTCATCTCAGACAGGGAGGAGAAAGGGGAAACTAGGATCGGGGTGGGGGGGCAGGCTGCAGTGCTTCCTAATCTCTTGATGATGGCAGAGAGGGCTGTGGGGATTGGCTGTGACTTAGCAGCTGAGCATCTGTTTGGCATGCAGAAGGTCCCAGGTTCAATCCTCTGCATCTCCAGTTAAAGGATCAAGTAGGGCAGTGGAACCTGCTGTCAAGTCACAGCTGACTTACGGGGCTTTTCAGGGCAAGAGATGATCAGAGGTGGTTTGCCATTGCCTGCCTCTATGCAGCAACGCGTCTCCCTTGGTGGTCTCCCATCCAAGTACTAACCAGGGCCGACCCTGCTTAGCTTCGGAGGTCTGATGAGTTCAGGCCAGCCTGGGCCATCCAGCTTAGGATGGAATCTGCTGTCAGTATTCAAAATTCATCATCCGCAAGCCTCGCAGGTTTAGTGCCAATCGTGAACAGCAGTGTCCTCACTCTACCAACTTTAGAGCCTGCACCACTTATCGTAACCCCCACCCACCCCTCCATATTGTGCCACTTTTTCACTGCAGTTGTTGTTAAGATCAACTTATTTCCCCAACTCAAACAGGAGACAAAGAGGCGTGGGTTACTCTGTTATTTCGGTCTTCATCGCCATTCCAGGGGAGAGCGTTCAGGTAGTGGGTGATACAAAAGACTTCAGCCTGAGACCCTGGAGAGCCACTGGCGCTCAGCTCTATTCAGTTTATTTCAGTTCCAATCCAATTACCGTAGTGAACAAATCAAACATGACAGGATTTAGAACATAAGCAGGATACTGCCTTACACAGACTTAAATTGCCAGTCAGCATGCATAGTGCTGATCATAATAGACCGAGGGTCTGATTCCATAAAAGGCAGTTTTTATTTTATTTATTTATTTATTTAATTGTTTAATTATTTAATTAGATTTGTTAGGCCACCCTTCCCTGCAAGCAGGGCTCAGGGCGGCTTACAACAGGACAGATACAATAAATAATGCCGTTAAAGCCAATTATAAATACCTATAATATATCAGGAGATAAAACCTCACTTCCCAAGATGGCGGAAGAGATTTTAAATCCCACAAGCCACCTGGAGGGGAGGAGGTTGCGGAGGGTGGGGTGTCTGTGAGAGTACCAGATTTTATATTGTCCCATCGCTGCCCTCAACCAAATGCCTGGTAGATCATCTCTGCCTTGCATGCCCTGCGGAAAGATAGTCAATCCCCACAGGGCATGGATACTCTCAGGCAGAGAGTTCCAACACCCAAAAAAGAGGGGTGGGGGGGATCTAAACCAACAAAGCACAAACCTCCAAAGGAAGTTTAGAAAACTTATTAAGGGCCAAAAGTTAAAAACATAAGTAGGCGTACAAAAGAGAGTTTATTACAAAGACATATGAAAAGCTAGTAGGGGCCCAAATAAAGCCTCATAAAATGTTCAAAGTTACAAACACACACAAAAAAGGACAGTATATGACCAGACGCATTTCGGATCACAAGAGGACCAAAATTGGAAAATGAAATTGCCTTGTCAGGGACAATGTGCCATCATATTGATGGCACATTGTCCCTGACAAGGCAATTTTATTTGCACTCTTAGGACCTAAACTGGAAGGTACATATTATTTCCAGTATACACAACTACTTCTGACACAAGGCCAGATATACTTGTAGTCCCAAATAGAAACTTTTTGGTGTGTCATTCAATTTCACATTGGAACATTCCAATTTTGGTCCTATTTTATTTATTGTTAATTGCCTTACATGTGTTACAGGAACTCTGTTGCTTGTTGTATTTTGCACTATTTGACCTCTGAAGAAGGCTCTTGTGAGCCGAAACACATCAGGCCATATACTGTCCTTTTTTGTGTGTATTTGTAACTTTGAACATTTTATGAGGCTTTATTTGGGCCCCTACTAGCTTTTCATATGTCTCTGTAATAAACACTCTTTTGTACACCTACTTATGTTTTTAACTTTTGGCCCTCGATAGGTTTTCTAAACTTCCTTTGGAGGTGAAAGAGTTCCAACAGACAGGGGCCAGGGACAAAAAAGCCCTGGCTCTAGTTGAGGACAGCCGGATCTCTCTCCAGCCTGGAACCACCAGAAAGTTCTTATTCCCAGAGCGTAACACTCTTCTGGGGGCATACTGAGAGAGGCGGTCCCGAAGGTATGTGGGTCCCTGACCACTATGAGCCTTGAAGGTCAGAACCAAGACCTTGAACCTGATCCAGTGCTCCACTGGAAGCCAGTGCTGCTCATGCAGCACAGGTTGAATATGTGTTCATAGCACAGGCTCATCTGATTAAAAAATGTAATCATGAAGGGAGCATAAACCTCTCACCCAAGCCTGGGCAGCGGGAACAACTGAGCCATGTTTAATCACTTCAGGAACTGAGCCAGGTGAGTTTTTGCTAAGGTAGGAACAAGGCCTAGCAGGTTTCAACACAAGTACTGGAGTCAACAGGGGAAACAATGCTTAATCCCCACCCAACCCACTCAAAATACTTGGGCTATCAAATCAAACACCTAATATTGAACCGGCAGACAAAGAGATCAAGCAATTGACAAGCCCAAACAAAAAAAAGACTTGACTGTAGGTGGGGTGGACATCACTTGGAAGAGCCACAAAGAGACTGCACCAGTGACTCAAGCATCTCTTTTCACACTCCTGGGCAACTTGTTTGGGAGCGGCTCACAATGGGACAACATGTGCATAACATGCACACTTAGAACTTGGCATTTCTCTTGGCAGGCTGTTGCTCTGCATAGGTAACAGGGTTGCACTGTACAAAATGGTTCACAAACTTACTTGGATAAATTATTGGGAACTGTGGCCTGTACTGCTGCATATAGCTTATTAGGACCACCAGATCCCTTTGGGCAACCAGCGGGGGATGGGGGGTGAGCTTACCAGGAGTTTATCCCATGTTTCAACGACATGCCCACGTGATTTCAACATGGGCAAAAACTCTATGGTAGAATTAGCTTCTACCACAGAGTTTTTGCCC